GGGGGGGGGGGGTAAAATCTGAGTTGCTAGTTTTTTTCTGGGTTGGTCTTTTTCACGTTTTCTTGGTTGGTGGATGCACCGGGAACCCGATTATAGCACTTAAACACGGATTTCACTTAAAACTCAGTTTTCACAGAAGTATTAAGCAGTACAACTGTTTTAAACATTGATAATAACAATAAATATTGCTTGGTCACCAAATCAGCATAGTAGAATGATTTCTGAAGGATCTTGTGACACAGAAGACTGAAGTAATGACTGCTGTAAATAAATAAAATGCAGCCTTGGTGAACACAAGAGACTTCTTTCAAAAACATTATTACCAACCCCAAATCTTTGTATTGTAGTGTACCTAAATAATATTTCCTCCATTTTGACGGTGACTGTTTCATGCTCATGAGGTTTGTTCCCATCCTGGCAATGTAAGAAGAGTTACAGTATGTCAGTCAAGCTTTCGTGTCTGCGTTTGCATCCTTACAGTACATAAAGTATATTTCTGGCCTTACTTCAGAAAGCTCCCCAAGCTCACTCAGCAGCTACACTGGAGATGTATTCTGCGTGCCATATGGTAGGAATTACTGTGAATGTCTATATTCATTAATGTGAGGATCACTAGCAGAAATAGGAAAGCAGCGCTGCTCTGTGATCACCATCACTCTGCAGTTAAGAGACCACACATCCCCACATGTTCTCCCTGGTTAGAGCTCTGTTTACTCACAGAGTGGCTCTTACTGGCATCCAGACAGCTGTGTAGTACGATGTGGCGTTATGGTTGAAGAAATCATCACACAGATGCTAATTGTCATCAGAAAATGCACATTTCACTAGCACTTTTCCTTATCTCTGTTTCTTTCTCAGTGACGAAGACTGTGTGTGCCGAGCAGTGTGATGGCCGATGTTTTGGGCCGTACGTCAGTGACTGCTGTCATCGCGAGTGTGCTGGAGGCTGTTCAGGACCGAAGGACACGGACTGCTTCGTATGTCTTCAGTATTCCTGTAACACACTCACACACTCAATCATATTGGGGACTGCAGTGTCTAGTCGATTAGCTCTGCCACTAGTTGATGCTTTTGTGCTGTGTCGACTAGTCACAGATCACATGACTTCAGTTTGCTCTATATGGTGACAGCAGGATGAAAATTCCTTTATCCACAAACTGTGTTCTTGTGTATTTGCCTGTCATAGTCAAATATAAAGTGGGGTTTCATAGTTTGAGTCCACTAGCAATTTTGCATGTTTCTATTTTAATACAGTTTTTTTTCATCACAATTTATTTGATCTGCATCATAATTTGAGTGAAACTTTAATGTATTTAAAATAAACAAAGATAAATATTTCTAAAGCATTTATTGATCATAGTTAATGTTAACTTCAGCGTTTACTAATACATTATTAAAATAAACGGATGTATTTGTTCATATTATTTAATGGACTTGAACTAACATGAACTAACAATGAAACAGTTGTATTTTTAGGTTAACAAAAATTTATAAACACTGTGACAAATGTTTTGTTCATTGTAAGTTAATGCATTTACTAATGTTAAATAATGAGACCTTTTTGAAAAGTGTTACCAAGTTAAATTGAAAAATTAACATGAATTTCAGAATGTAAGGATTTTTTTATTTTATTTTATTTTATTACATTACATTACATGATCAGCATCACAATTTGAGTGAAAAGTTGAACCGAAAAAAATGACATGAATTTCATAATGTTAGGATTATTTTTTTTTCTTCTTTGTTTTGTTTTATTACAAATTAAATGATACGCACCACAATGTGAGTGAAAAGTTGAACTGAAAAAAATTTACATGAATTTCAGAATGTTAGGATTTTTTTTTTATTTTATTTTTGTTTTGTTTTGTTTTGTTTTGTTTTGTTTTGTTTTATTACAAATTACATGATCAGCATCACAATTTGATTGAAAAGTTGAACTGAAAAAGATTTTCAGTATAATTTTCATCTTTTCATATTTTTTTTTATTTTATTACAAATCACAAAGTGAAAGTTTGAACTGAAAAAAATTAACATGAATTTCAGAATGCCTCAGTATTTGGTATTTTGTTAGCTTTAATGGCAGCAGCACTTGAGCTGCGTGAACTTCACAAATTTGTGTCAAAGGTTATAATGTTCTCCAGCATGATTTAAGATGATTCACTGAGATGATCTAAGGGGTATCTTGAGCTTCAAAGGAAGCAAGAACATTTCAATGAGGATTCTTTGAACCCCACTGTATGTAAAATTATGCAAATGTAAAAGTGCAGTGAAACCGGAGTCGTCATGCTCATAAACATCAAATCAACGACTAGTCGACATCTTGTCTGGGCTACTAGTTATGTAGTTGTACAAGCCTTAACTCCAGTATTTACATCCAGTGTCAACCCACTCGCGCACAACCCTCTTACAGATGTCTCAGAATGTAATAACTTTTTTCCCCAAACACACACACACACACACAGTCTGTCAGTCATCTGCGGCTTTATCAGCCATCCCATAAAACTGCAATTGTAGAAGTGTTTCAGTAACAGCGGCAGACCCATTCCAGCTTCCTAACCTTATCTTTGAGAATTTGTTCAGCTGAGGTATTCACTTCTCCAAAAGAGATCCATGTTGACTACAGATGACTCGCTTTTGACCAGAAATCTCCCTATAGGAAATGTTCTTTGCACCAGAGATACCATTAAAATCTAATTTCCTCCCACAATGCCTTGCTGTGAATGAGAGTGTGGGCCACACCTCTGTATCTCTTTTGTTACTTGCTGCCTGGGCAGATCCCGACCGTCTCTGACTGCTCCTCGCTCCTCCGGCCCTCAGAGAAAGCGATTTATCGCACCTCTCTGGTTTTTTAATTAGTTATCCTCAGCTGTAATCATTGATATTGTACTTCTCGATTGTTCCCTTTTAATTGAAAACGCACTTTCGCGCCATGCATTGGGATTTGGATCAATGCCTTAATTTTTTTTTTTAACATCTCAGCAGCTCTAAGGCGGAAAACAGTTCTCACGTGTTTCTGAAGTCAGATTTATAAAACAAAGAGCTTTTTCTATTCCGTAAGCCTGTTTGAATCATTATTTATTAGTTGCATTGTTTATTTATATTGCTTATATGCAGTATTGGTGTTGGTTGGCATACTTTTTTTGTGGGTCGAAGATGATTAGCGGAGCAATTTTGCATTCTGGCACATTCTTCTATATTGCATAATGTCCTAAAATAAGACTCTACGAGTAGCAACACAAGTTTTTGTCAGCTGTTTTATTTAATAAATGTGTATTTCTGTCAATAACCTTGTTTCTTTGTGTCCAGGCCTGCACTAATTTTAACGACAGCGGTGCGTGTGTGACACAATGCCCTCAGCCCTTCGTCTACAACCCCACCACGTTCCAGCTGGAGCACAACCCGCGGGCCAAATACACATATGGAGCGTTCTGCGTCAAAAAGTGCCCACGTAAGACAGACAGACCAAACCAATACAAACATGTGTATGCTTACACGCACACTTCTAGCTGGATCTTTCACTCACATAAATGGATATCAGGTGCCATGTTGAGGTGCGTTCACATTCGGGAATGTAAGCATGTTTCAGATTGAATGCAAATGAGGCGGATCGGCTGCACCTGAGTCCTCGTGCTCTTCTGAGCCCCTGATGTGGTGCAGGGCTGTTTTCCCCACTGACTTGAGGGAGGGAGGGAGGGAGGGAGAGAGAAAGAAAGAAAGAAAGAAAGAAAGAAATATGTGGATGCCAGGGGTCTTCAACAGAGGATCTGTGGCAGTACTGCAGGGGGTCCACCAATTATTGTTTGATCTCAAAATAATTAGGCATTAAAAACTACATTAAGTTAACCCTCATGTTCTGTTGAGAAATATTTTTATTTTTGATACTCAAAGACCAATAATGTTTGTGTAAATTGTTGTGCATTATTTATTTATTTTATTTTATTTTTTACTACAAAGCACTCATGTGCTTTACAGAACTGTGACTGCAAAGGCAGAGTTTGATTTTGAATGAAACATAGAAATCAGAAATTGAAAATCAATATTAATAATAATATGAAATGTTTCTTGAACATTAAATCAGAATATTAGAATGATTTCTGAAGGATCATGTGACATTTAAGACTGGAGTAATGGCTGCTGAAAATTCAGCTTTGTGATCACAGGAATAAATTATATTTTTAAATATATTAATATAATATAATATTTTTGTTACTGTATTTTGATCAAATAAATGAAGCTTTGGTGAGCATTAGAGACTTCTTTCAAAAATATTACAAAATCTTACTGATCCCAAACCGATCTTATGAAATTTAAACGTGTTATGAAATATTGTTTTAATCAGAAACGTCATAAATTATCAACCTGATAGTGTTCAGTATGTTTTCTGAGCTATTAAATTATCTTTGAGTCTCTGAACAGAATTCCCACAGTCATAGATTACCTGGTAATATTAGGGAATCTGAAAAATTTATTCCCGGGTTATGGAAATGAACAAAACATTTCATTGGCTAGAAGGCTTCTTTTTAAATGCCAACTCTATAAATTTCATGAACGGCTGGAAAAGTCCTGGGAAAATAATAGAAATTCATTGGCCAGACCCCAAATAGAACATAAGGGTTAACTTCAAACACAGTTAAATATTGTATTGTCCGTTCCACATTAAAATGTTATAAGTAAGATTAAAAAGTGATGTACAAGTACATCGTTAATGTTTGATTTAATGGCCTTGCAATATCAGGACCAAAAGAATGTAAATATATGCATGCATGCAATTCAACGCCATATAAAACAAAGGGGTTCTGTGTTCTTCTCTATCCAGTGTGAATAGACCTGATAGGGTAATTACAGAGATAAGAATCTTGAGTCTTTTTCATTGAAACTAAGAAGGTTTCTTGTGAACTGACGTGATTTCTTTGAAAAGAAGAGAACGTTGAAAGAGAAAGTAACAGCGGAAGAATGAAAGAGAGCTGTGATAACAGTGATGATAGGTGAGCGCGAGTGCCATTATTCCCCCTTGCTGGGCCGCCACTGCTGCAGAATGAAGGGTTTGCACACTGACAGACGCCCACTCCAGTGCTCAGTCCACGATGAATGTTATTGCGCAGTACTCGAGAGACCCTCCCCAAAACCCAACCCGCCCTCCGCAGTCACATAAGGCCACTTTATTCAATGGGACGACAGTGAAATGCTCAGTTTGGCTTAGTTTCTCTTAGCTGTTAAGTGAGGGTTGTGTTTTTTACCCAGGGTTATTTGTTCTTCTGGTGTCACATTTTAAATCGCATAAAATTCAAGGCATTGATGTTTGCCTACAAAACCACCACTGGCTCTGCACCCCTTTACCTAAATTCATTACTTCAGACTTCTGTGCCCTCTAGAAGCTTGCGTTCTGCAAGTGAACATCTCTTTATTGTGCCATCCCAAAGAGGCACAAAATCACTTTCACGCACTTTTAAATTAAATGTTCCCTCCTGGTGGAATGACCTGCTCAACTCAATCTGAGCAGTCCTTAGCCATCTTCAAGAATCAGCTAAAAACACATCTCTTCCATCTTTGTTTGACCCTCTAACTCTAGCACTCTCTATTGTAATTCTATTCTTTAAAAAATGCCCCTTTTAGACTTGCACTCTATTCATTTGCTTACTGCTTGTTTTCTTTTTTAAAAAAAAGCAAACACTAGCTTCTCTATTCTTTTTCTATTCTGTCTGTTTTCTTTTTATTTATTATATAATTTTTTAAAAAAGCCTTTCTATGTGTACTGTGTTAAGCTAACTGAGACTTGTCATAGCACTTGCGTATCATTGCTCTTTTGTTGATTCTGATTGCTTCCATTGTCCTCATTTGTAAGTCGCTTTAGATAAAAGCGTCTGCTAAATGAATAAATGTAAATGTAATGTCTAGTTCTTCACTGTAAGAGTCTGAGATTCACATTACATGTAAGAGGTGAAGAGAGATGTTCGCACTTGAGAAATCCATCTTCCTTTATCTGTCCCTCCATGATCCCCTCTCTCCTCTCTGGTGATGGATGCCAGGCTGCGCAGTCTCTGCCGGAAATGGGCTCTTTCCATCACGCACACACGCCACAGTCACGGTCCCCACTGCGTCGGCGCGGATGTGTTAATGGTTTTTGTCTGAGAATGGATGTTTCTTCTCTACCATTACAAAATGTCAATGGCCTTTTTCACAGAGATTGCTTAGAGTTTGTTCAGGGGCACGCCGCCGTCTGACCGTTTGTTCTGCCTCTGTGTGTGGTGTGACAGATAACTTTGTGGTGGACCACAGCTCCTGTGTCAAAGCCTGTCCCAGCAACAAGATGGAGGTGGAGGAGAACAGAATCAAGATGTGCATCCCCTGCACTGATATTTGCCCAAAAGGTGATTACACGCACCATCAAACTCAATCAAAGTTCACCAAAGTTCTCAGTACCAATACCAGTGAAATTTCACAATTTGTGATACCAAAACTAAAGCTTAACTTCTGTTGAACACACTCCTTTATTTATAACATTATTTTAGTATTATTTATTTACAGTTATAGTACTATTGACTCTTATCGTATATAATTATAGTATTTTTATTTTAGTTGTAGTTTTAATCATTTTAGTACTTTAGCTTAAACTTTATTATTTCAGGTTCCACATTTCTACTTTAATTTTCTCATAACATTTATGTTGTATTTTATTTCAGCTTTATTTTACTTAACAAAATTGATTTTTTTTATATAGTTTTAGTTAATAACAAAATGGATTTATAAATGTATCTAATTTAAATATAATTCATTTTAGTTAATAATAACAACACTGATTTAAAAAATATATTTAATTTAAATGTAATTAATTTAAATTATATAATTATTCATATTGTATCATATCATTTATGTACTTTTTTCTCTGAAAACAAAGAAAAGAAACAATCGTTTAAACAATCGAAACAATAGATTGTAATAATTAAAATTATATATTATAATTTTATATATTTACAAAATATTTATATACATTTATATTATATTATTATTTATATCATACTCTATAATGTACTGTATATACATGTTTTTTTTTCTCTGAAAACAAAGAAAAGAAACAATTGAATGCAATATACAACTACTTGACGCTTAAAAATACATGATACTACTAATGCTATAGACAGACAGATATTGTTTTTTACTTATTTATTTATTTATAAGCATAAACTTGTAGTGAAGTTCACTGGTTACTGTAGTTGTTGTTACTACATCAACTTTTTTTGTCATTAGCTGATCAGCGGTGCGTTTCCCAAAAGCAGCTATTGTCGCAAGTTCCATCGTTACCAATAGAGTTCAGTGAAACTTGCCACCATAGTAAGCTAACAGTGCTTTTGGGAATAGCACCCCTAGATGATTGATCAGTCAGAAAACTTGCTGAGATCTGAGGTTGACCTTGCACCAACAAACAAACCGTCTACCACATTACTAAAACATCTTAACCACCTTAAGTTGGTATGGCCCGATTTTCTATCAGGATCCAGATCTCCTTCAAACAGTGTAAGATGCTTTCACAATCATTCTGTCATTTTGCTCAATGGATTTTTTCATGACAGAGGTGATGAACACAAAGTTACCACCAGCCTTGGAGAATAAATAACTATTAAATGAACTACATTTTTCAATAGTGCGACAAGTCACTCAGCTGTTATCAGGGTAGTACAGCCTTTCCAGTAAACAAGCTACTTTGTCCAGCAAGCAGCGGTGTATTGTGAATTAAAACGATGCATTACAGTACATGTATTGTGCACAGTGAACTGAGGCAATAAACGCTTTTCTAGAATGTTATCTCTCTCTCATTTAACATAGGGTAGTCTGATTAATTTCAAACTCTGCTCTGATTGAAAATTTTAAAAAAAATCTTGTTGTTAAACATTTGAAAAGATATTGCTCTGTTGAATAACTTCTATGTTAGTAGCTTGTTACTAGTTTCCACATACTGCAGTAATAATAGAAAAAGTCAAAACCTTGCTTACCAATTTCTTAAAGAGTCTATTTTTTCTCTTAAAGTTTTAATCAAACATGATCTGAAATCTCTATTTTACACAGTTTTCTGGTTTATGTTGCAGCATGCGATGGGATCGGCACTGCTAGCCTTCAGACGGCTCAAACCGTCGACTCCAGCAACATCGACAGATTCATCAACTGCACCAAGATCAACGGAAACCTTGTGTTCCTCATCACAGGCATTAAAGGGTGAGAGTGGCTTCTTCACAACCTCCGTTGACTCGCTTCACAGCCATTACGCTCTTCTTTACAGCTGAATATCGGATATTGGATTGTCAGAAGCCATTTGACCTATGCTGCTTCTTTTTATCAGATAACATCAGCTTTAATGATGCAGGAGGGGATTCATGTAGAAGAAAAGCACTAGAGAAAGCCTTCACATCATGGCTGTGTGTAAAAAAAAAATAAAAAAACTACACTGGCCAGTTTAATAGGACGCATTAAAAGTGCCGTTAACACACTTTGCGAGTTTAGACAGTCAAGCAAGACCTACGAGACTTACTGACTCTCCAGACGGCCACAGTTAATGTGATTTTATATGAGAAATGTGCTGCCCCCTCTTTATATAAGTGCTGTGACATATTTGATTGTCAGATTGTCAAGAAGTCATTTGACCTCTGGTTGACCCGCTCCCTCCAGTGGCCTCTTTCTGATCCCGCTGCACCTGATTGGCCGGCCCTCTAACCCCATATAGCTGACTCTGCTCTTAAAGAGCAATCCAGGGCCAGCAGCCGCAGCATGCTGGGAAAAGCCATGTGCACACATACGCACATCCTGATAGGCATACAGATGACATCATCTCCAACACAAACTGATATGGAGTGCACATACTTCTTACACGTATTCCCCACGCGCACACTCTCATACGCTGCGTCAGCAGGTGTTCTGGACACGTCCTCCCCGAAGATCTTCAGCTCAATGGTGCTATTAAAACCTGCTGTACTGCGCAACAGAGCAGCATAAGGCATGGAGACTTGGAAAAGATGGAGAAAATGCAGCATACTGGGATGGATGGGGTCAGAAGGCACTGGTCAGAGTGCATTTGTGTTGATAGTCTTCTGCTTGACTCTTCTCAGAGTTAGATTTAAGAGCTTGTTACACAATCAGCTTCATCTTTTAGCAAAATGGCAGATTTTCTTGACTGTAAAGATGTGGCTCTCAGCATATACTGAGTATAATGTGTATTTGCTTCAATCTTTATGTGTATTACAGGGACGTATACCACAACATAGAGCCCCTGGATCCAGAAAAACTCAACGTGTTCCGCACCGTTCGAGAGATCACTGGTAAGTCAAGTTAGTTTTATTTGGATTGGGTTTTTACTTAATAATAATGGTAATATGATAATGCATATTGTTTCAAAGCATCTTTGAAAAACAAATAGCGGCTTACAGACCTTTTACAAAATAAGCAAGTTAAAAATGACAATGAAAAAACCTTGAGATGAACCAGTACTGAGCAAGGGGAACCTGTCCTCCTCTGGCAGGCACATACTTTATTTAAATATATGTTGTATGGCAATATTGACTAGCTATGTCACATTTATAGTATGTTTTTAATTAATAAATTAATTGATTTAATCTGGAATTGATATGAACCTATTTCTAACTCATGCCGCCTGCAAAGTTTTTGGTAAAATAAATTCTTATTTTTATTCAGTAAGAACACATTAAAATTGACAAAAGAGACAGTGAAGACATTCAATGTTACAAAAAAATGAATTTCAAATAAATGCTGTTCGTTTGAACTTTAAAAAAGCTATGTATCATAGTTTACACAAAAAAATATTGAGCAGCACAACTGATGATAATAATAATAAATGTTTCTTCTTCAGCACCAAATCAGCATATTAGAATGATTTCTGAAGGATCATTTGACACGGAAAACTAGAAAAATTCAGCTTTGCCATCATAGGCATAAAATACAAAATACATTAAAGTTATTTTAATAATTTGTATTTTTTCATAATAGTACTGTTTTTACTGTATTATTCATGTATTCATATACTTTCAAAAACATTTAAATAAATATTATCAATCCAAAATGGTAGTGTAAATAAAAGTAGTTTGTTCGAATTAACCTTTATGCTTATTAGATCAGGGGTTTTCAACCTTTTAGGTCAACCTCTTAACCCCCCCACCACCCACCCCACCGGTATTACTGTAGTCACACCGAATTACTTTATTAACATTAACATAAAAGCAAATATCCATTAAAACTATTAAAGCAGCGAACAATTTTTCTTTTGCTCTTTTTGATTAGCATTATTTACATAAGAAATGCAAGGATCCATTATACTGATGAACATTTTATATTTTCTTTACTGTTTACATTCACTTAAAACAACCAACTGTGCTTACAAGGATACTTGTCAAGACAGGCATTGGTATTCATCTGCTGTCTGAGAAGGCTATCTGTTTGTGCACTTCAGGTGTGTGAGCGGTGCGCATAGAAACGCTCTATCACAGTGCGTGAGTACCGCATTGAGATGTCTTGTGCTTAAATGGCTTAAAATTACTTTAATGTTGATTTAAAGAATTACTTAATTATGCCTTTAACACGTGAGAATGAAAACCTTTCTCGAGGAAGCAGCACTGGCCTGATCGTTAAGATCGTTTTGGGGGGCTAAGGTGACAGATAGGGGGGCTGAAACCCACCTAAATAGGGTTTAGAACTGCCCCTGGTATAGCGTGCGTAATTGGGAAAACCGCGGACTTGGCAACACTGAGCATGACTGATACTCGAGCCAACTCTGCTCTAATTGTCGACTAGCAGTGGCGCGCCCCACAGGTTGAAAACCCCTGTATTAGATCATCATGTTGTTAGCTTAGCAACATGCTAACACAAACTGAAATTTTTCTGTTGAGTCACATTTCCTGTGCTCTTTTCGTAAAGAGCTTTATTTGTGTAACACACTGACAGTATTCCAAAGCCTTCGGTAATAAGGTTCCAAATCAGTAAGGGTGCTGCCTTAGAAGGTAACAGAGAGTAAACAGCAAGGCAGCTTTTTACGTTTTAGAATAGAGCCATTAATATACTTTAATAAAGAAGGGCCTGTGAAAAAATAGCTGATTCACATGTCCAGATTTACATAATCCACCTGTCTTATTGAAAATACATCAAAAACACATGGAACAAAGCACAGAGGAAGATCTACAGTAGTGTGTTTGTGCGTTTGTAGATTTGTGTGTGTGTGTGATGTGTGTAAAGGGGTTTGTGTTTGTACGAGTGTTTCTCAGCGGGGAGGCCCTATATATGATGAATACATGATGAGGGAGATTTCTCCAACTGAGGAGAGCTTCCCATAGGAGAGCAGGACTCTTGGCTCACAAGAAACATGAAAGCAGTTGAAAACACTTCTTTCTCTCTCTCCCTTTCACTCTTTACCTCTCTGGCTTTCTCTTTCCGTGGTGACAGCAAAGAGGGCTCTCCAAGTCAGTGAGGCATGCATGTCAGGCTGTCACATCTATATGCAGGTGGCCACAGTCTCTGACAGAACAACGTCTTCACTGGCATGGTGTTATTTCTGCTCTGCGACCCCAGCTTGAAGACTTTGACAGATTCAGAGGCGCCTGCTTATATGTATTTCTTTACAGTGGGTTTTTAAATTGAATGTGTTTACTCAGTTTGACTGAATTCAGTGTACAACGCATGAAGAAGGTCATCTAGCTGCAGGAGTTGCAGCTGCAAATAAAGACCCTTCAGATGGCTGTAAACGCATAACCCCTGTTCCTTAGCACCGACCAAGTCTGTTATTTAATTTTTGTATGACTCCCAGTAAACCCCAAACAACCCTGACTGACATTAAACGAACATTTCATAGCCTCAGTCGGATGCTTCCCCACCAATATTTAAAGATTTGGGGAAATGCCTGCGGCTCTTGCCGGCAATGCCTTCAGCTGGAGCCCTGTGTGAATCATCTCTCTAGAGAGATGGACTGAAGAGGCGGACCTGATTTACCCTCTGCTCTCAAGCCTTGAGGAAGGGGTTAGCACTGGGAGATACAGAAAATATGGAATACAGGAATACAGGAAATACAGTAAAATATATCTCAGTATTTTGCAGCCTTTTAATGATGATATGTAATATATTTCTCCAACTTTGTGCGTGTGTGTGCACTCTAGAGAGATGGACTGAAGAGGCGGACCTGATTTACCCTCTGCTCTCAAGCCTTGAGGAAGGGGTTAGCACTGGGAGATACAGAAAATATGGAATACAGGAATACAGGAAATACAGTAAAATATATCTCAGTATTTTGCAGCCTTTTAATGATGATATGTAATATATTTCTCCAACTTTGTGCGTGTGTGTGTGCGTGTGCGTGTGTGTGTGTGTATTTATTACATTTATTAATATTAACAATGTAGAAAACGGTTGTTTTGCATACTATTTTTGTAGAAACATGATTTTTTTTTTTTGATGAATAGAAGGCACAGCATGTATTGGGAATTAAAATCTTCTGGAATTTTATAAATGTCCTTACTGTCTCTTTTGATCATTGCATCCTTGCTTAATAAAAGCATACATTGCTTTCTGGCCGCAAACTTTTGAACAGTAGTTTATGCACCAATGCAAAAATACAGTATGTGGTAAACAGGCTGTATACTGTAAATTTTTTAACTAAAATATTTTAAAGCATGAACATTTCCACAAGTCTTAGAGACTCAGTTCCAACTGATTCATTTAAATAAACAGTCATTATACAACATTATTTGATCATAGAATTCTGTGATTGAGCAGTCCGAATCCGGTAGTGTAATATTATCAAAAGTAACGTTATCAAAAGTATTTTGCCTAGCTACAGGGTCATGTTGGCACATGTCTATAAACCCTCTGTATTCTGTGTTACTCAAACTCATTTGCAGCAGTTCCCTTTGTGTTTCTTGTGTGCAATTCATTTGAGGGGCAGGTTTACTCTCCTGATGTTAGTCTGGAGCCGACAGGTGTTCGCTGGGACCTCGTTAGCACCATTAGCATGATGAAGTTTCGCCTCCATGTGTAAAATAAACAGATTACAACACAGACAGGCAAGCAGCCCACTCTCAAGGCACTGCACACACTCCTTCAGACTTCCCATTGCACAGTTTTGTCATTAAGGCAATTAGTGTCAGCAGACACCACGCTAACGACACCTCACTGAGGCACTTCCTCTAATCTGCTTCCACAACCTTAGACGAAATGACACAGGCAGCAGAAAATGCAAAATCTCAAGCTTTTAACCTAATTTCAGACCTTGAATCTTAAAAGAGCAGTTTCTATGAGTGAACATGATAGAATTGTAGTCACGTTTTTGTAGGTTTTGCATTAGTAATGAACAGTCTGGCTATCAACAATGTGAAAAGAATATGTCAAATTTAGATGATTTATGAATAATTAATGCTATTTCTCTCTCCTGTAGAAAACCATCACTGGAGACAAATGTCTTAATCAAAAGGCTACATTAATATTTACTGTAGTCTCTTCCGGTAGACATGCTAATTAACGTGGAATCCAAACTTAATTTTAACAAAGAAGGCCAGGAATGCTAGAAATGCTTGCACAACTGCATGTTGTGGCCTAGAGATATGACCATAAATTCTGAACAGGAATAATATTTATATTAGCCTCTTAACACGATACCACTTTTGCAGAAACATGTCCCCCTGAAAGTAATTAATTAGTTTGAAAGGCAATCAAATATCAGTGATTACTGGAAATATGCACCATCCAGGCTTTGCATTGTTGAAGTAATTGGTGTAATTTATGTTCTCCTTGTCCTTGAATAAGAAAGTCCTCTTTTTTCTTTCTTAGGGCCTGTTTGTCTTTTCTTGGTGTATGCACAGGATTGTCTTCCCTTCAATTAATAATTCATTTTTTTGAATCCATTATTAAAATGTCTTCATGATTTATAGCTATCAGCTCTTCAATATGCATTAAATAAATGGAGAAAGATGCAGGATATGAAAATAAAATATAGTCAGGCTCTGTATGGTGGTCGTATTTCTCAAATAAGACATTAATGTCGCTATGTACAGTCAGCACTACTCATGCACACTCATTAATGACTTAATACGCCTTTAATACGGGATTTTTTTATTATGCTGCAGTGAAAGTAATAAATTTCTCTTAATAATAACAGTAGGTGGAATCACTTGTGCCTACTATGTTGGGTAATGTTTTGGCTCACTGTGTGTCATCTTGTGTTTTCCAGGCTTTCTAAACATTCAATCCTGGCCAGAAAACATGACTGATCTGAGTGTCTTCTCCAGTCTGGCAACCATCGGAGGCAGGTCTCTCTACAGGTAAGATCCAAGGCTCACTCTATGTTGCCAGCTCCAGAAACAATCCCCCTCCTTCTCCTACTTCCGCAGGTTTAATACTGCCTTCAGGTGCACCTGGGAAACTCAGTCAGGCATTCATTATTACATGTCATGCATTCAATTCAGAAACATAGCATGGAAGTAACCTAAACAAAACAAAATAATTATATTGTGAACAATAAACCCAAATATCTACATCTGAATTCAAAATAATGAGAATTATTCAGTTCTATCACTTGTTTACACATGGTATGAAAAGTAAATGTTTGTAAACTATGAAACATGATCGGTTCAGTTTACACTTGTTGTCCTTCTGCGGTTCCGTAATCAAACCTTTAAAATACTTTTAAAAAACCTTTAAAAATTGAAATACAACAACATGTAAGTACATTGTACTTAATTTTTGATGTAAGTACATAGTAGTTAAGGCCACTTAATATAAAGTGGGGCCTGTAAAATTAAAATAACTTGCAAAATCCATTGTAAATCACTATACACTGAAAAAAATGTTTCATTCATCCAATTAAAAAAAAATTAGGGTAATGATTCACATCTATATTTTATAACTTGAGCCTATGAAAAATAAATAACTTGCCCTTATTTTTTTAATTGGATGAATGAAACATTTTTCAGTGTAGATTGTTTTCTACTCACTGAAATCTATATATTATACATCAGTGTTTTGCTGTATTTACTCATTTGCATCATTCTTTTAGCGAATTGGGCTAAAACAGCGCAGACAGCATGTGTAAATAAACAGCGTAATTCATTCTTATTGAATCCCCTCTTTTGTGTTTTCTAAAGAGGCCAAGGCTTTATTGCCAAGAGTTCAAAGAGTACGAATGAAAAGCTGTATTTACACAGTGCAACACCCATTTGCTTAGAGTTAAAGAGTCAGGAAAGACAGAAGAGAGTGGGAGCGCAGATCCGCCAGCCTGTTTTAACATTAGTGGGGTCATTTGCTGAAAGCTGTACCACTGTACCAATTACCGTCTGTCACATGATGTGCTCTGTGTCTGATGTGTCTGGCACAAAACACAGAGAGAAAAACAGAAGAGAAGTCTCTGAGAGGCAGATCAACGAGATGAGAGCGATGTCAGTGTTTAAGTGCACCTGCACGTTCTGCCGCTGCTCTCTGACTCTCTGCTGACGGCCGTCTCAAAGCCCCTTTGATGTGCTCTTCAGCATGCCTGCCTGTAATTAAAAACACCATTGTGATTATGCCTCGGCATTAACCGATCTCATCACATCTGAAGTGGGAGATCCTCAGCGATGCTAGATGGGGGATGCAAGCTAAACACTTGCTTTAGAAATGCAACAGCATCTCTCATACTGACAAGTCACTCGTGCCTTTTGTTCATGAAGCCATCATGGTAGCTTTCTTTGTGTCAGATCTCATTCTTTTGTTTCATTGTTATTCATTCTGATCTTTTTTGTCCATTGGGTCTCAAAGTCTTTAGGCTAAACAAAGTTTGGTCTTCTTTGTTGTTTTGGATGTTGAAATTATGGCTGTCAATTTATTGTGTTAATTTAGATCTATTCATTATTTAAAAAGTAAAGTTTTTTTTATAAAATACATCAAATATAATGTAATATAATTTTTATTTTTTATTTATGTTAATAGTTTTGCAACATTTGTTTGTTTATTTAGATTGATTGATTGATTGATTGATTGATTGAATTTCTCATGCATCTAATCCAACATTTCATTTGCTAATTCCAAAACGTCATTTTAGATTCAAGCCAATCAGATTCAAGCATTCAATGGTGCCATAGTGTGTGTATATATATATATATACCTTTTTTGTTAATATACATCATTAAATATTAATAAATAGTAAACATAAAGGATTGTGCAATTTTCATAGCAAAAATTATAAATGTGATTCAGTTGATTAAATATAATTTATTTGTGTGTGTAAAATTGTGTGTGTATTCAATTATGACATTTCATAATGAAATGAACCCCTCTTTAAAATGGGTAACCTCTCCTGTTTTTTCTCTTGTGTTCAGTGGCATCTCTCTTCTGGTGCTAAAGCAGCAGTGGATTTCCTCACTGAAACTGCAGTCTCTCAGTGAGATCAGTGCTGGAAACGTGTACGTCACCAACAACAGTCAACTCTGCTACTACAACACCGTCAACTGGACGCGACTCTTCCGCACCAACACCCAGAAGGCCCTGATCCGCAACAACCGCGACCAAAAGGAATGCAGTGAGTCCATCGCTCTGTTTTACTACAGTTCCATTTGGCTTTGAGATAAATTAGCCAAAGCCAAGATATTTGACTTGAGGTCTGGTCAAGTAATGTCTACTAAGAGTGGTGTCTTACATAAAAATTTAAAAAAGAAGATGTGTTAAGGCTAAGATTGTGTTCAGGCTCCCAGCTGCTGTTTGTCCTGGTTCACCCGAACCACAGAGAGAGTTCACGACGTCTCACGCAGAGCTCGCTGACTTTGAGGCAGTAAACTCAGTCACTTTGTAAGGTGCTGGTGCAGCTCCCTCATACCTGTCGTTCTGCCTGGGTCAGTGCACCTCACTGAGCCTAGCGGGGACCATGAGGGCCCCGGGTTCCTCTGCAGATGGAGGGGGTCAGGAGGTGTCAGATGATCAGAGTCTCACTCTGCTGTGAAAGACTATGCAAACCCCCTACCACATACTCCCTTTTTACCCTTCAAAATCACCCCGAGATCCAGAATACAAAGTTCTTTGAGTTATTTTTTGAAGACTTGAAGTGTGGAACAATGTTACCGTAAACCTGAAAAATACCACAAATGCCTCAGGTTTATGCGTGGACCGCCAGTCTAATTAACCATTCTCTGCAAATGTTAAGTCGCTCCATAAACGATCACAGGGAATTAATTGCAGGGAGACCCTGCAACAATTTCTGACATTTCAGAATTTTTTATTTTTTTTTTTTCAGGAGAAGCTATAATCACCACGGGGAATTTACTTTGACCTCTGTCTTTAAGAACTCTCTCTTTTCTCGCTGCTGAGTGATGTTTATGACTATCTAAAAAGCTGTTTTTGCCCTTCTTTTCCATTGCGCAGGATGTTGTGATGCAACAGCAATCATTAATGTCTCGCGGCAACCGTAGCCTTTTGTAGATCCCCGTGGCTCTTACCTATCTCCCTGGAAACCAACCCAGCACTGCTTTTGACGTCAACAGAACCCAAATTGTGTGTTTTCAACCAGGTTAAAACTTTGAAGTTGGCATCTTTTTGATCCATGTGCCACAAACATACAGCTGAAAGGGCTTCCTACTTCTCTGTGTCGCTCCTCATGCTGTTGGATACCTGCTCTAAGCACCAAGTTGGTTCTTGAACTGGTACATGTTGTTCCCTGAGAAATGCTGGGCTTTTTGTATAGTGCTCTCTGGAGTGCTTTTACATGTCATTGCTCATTCATTCACTGATTTTTGCAAATAAATGTAAGCACATAGAAAATAATTCCTCCCAAGTGTTCAGCAGTGCTTACAGTAAAATAGAACTCTCCTTAGGGAATCAGTCCTCAGAAATTCATTCTTTTCTAATTGAAAGCAATTTTTTTCCTTACATATTATGTTAGCAGCATAACTATTTGAGTGAAAAGTTGAATTTAAAAATGTAAATAAATGTCAAATCTAAAGAAATAATCTAAAGTTTAGTCTTCTTTGTTGTTTTGGATTATTAATTTGATTATTTAAAAAAAAAAGTAAAGTATCAAATTTAAAACAAAATATATGTATGCATGTATATATATATATATATGAAAACCGATAAATGCCACTTTAAAAAAATGAACTCTTAATTATATTATATAATAAGTCAGGAAAGAACAAGAAGAACACAGGTTTTTGCTGTAAAATCCAGCATGATTTGAGGTGTTCCTAAGAATATAACAAAGAGTGAAAAATTTAAGGGGGTCTGAATACTTTCCGTACCCACTGTATATATATGAAAACCGATAAATGCCACTCTCAAAAAATGAACTCTTAATTATATTATATAATAAGTCAGGAAAGAACAAGAAGAACACAGGTTTTTGCTGTAAAATCCAGCATGATTTGAGGTGTTCCTAAGAACATTCTGAGCTTCAATGGAAGCAAGAACATCTGACTTTTTGTTCACATGCTCACAAGTTTGCTTACATTTGACCCTCTGTATGCTCTTTGGTGATGAAATTCTCATAGTTTCAGAAGTTGAAGAGGACGTCTGTGAGACATGCTGAGGTTGTGTCAGCAGTATTTTAAAACTCTCCCAGCTGCTGCACAATCCAGTGCCTCAGTGGGTGGGCGCCTGGACCATTCTGTCCTCATTTCAAATTGAAATACAGCGGTTCATATACAGCCAGCTTCTTACAAGCGTAATAAATCCATAACCGGACAAGTAGCATTTTTCACAGATGGCGTGTACATTGTGTTCAATCACGGTTTTGCAAAGGATCTTTTCTTTCTATCAACTGGATGTTTCCCAGGGGTGAACTGACAGCAACATTCTGAGACAAATGTGCAGTAGATTGAAATGCAGCTATTGACAGAAATTAGTTTTTCATTGTGACACCTTGGAACAGGTGATGTTTTGTTAGAAAAATAGTAAATTAGAGCAATCACCCACAATTGCACAATTTGCACAGCATAATTTAAAATATATTGGTATATAATCTATTGCTGTACATATGTAAATGCATAAAAATATGTAAAATTAATTTAAAATGATAAAAAACTATTATATAAATAATTATTAAAGTCTATTAAAAAATATTACAATTTAATTTTAATTTATTTGTATATATTTATTTCAACAGCCATTATTACTCCAGTCTTTAGTATCACATGATTCTTCAGAAATCATTCTAATATGTTGATTTGGTTTAATATTTTTGTGGAAACACAGTGATACATTTTCTTTAAGGATTTTTTGATAAATAAAAAAGTTTCAAAGAACAGCATATATTTGAAACAGAAACCCTTTGTAACATTATATATAGTACATTATATATACGTATATACATTATATATATTTGCCATTTTTGACAGATGCAAGATGTTAGGAAACTGAGAAAGTTAGTTATTTACTGGCATAAATGCTCCTGCATTAATGATCATATTTTTTGCAGTTTTGGATCGTATGGTATGTGACCCGCTGTGCTCTGATGCTGGCTGCTGGGGTCCGGGGCCCGACCAGTGCCTGTCCTGTCGGTTCTTCAGCAGAGGACGTACCTGTGTCGAATCCTGCAACCTGCACGAAGGGTAAGTTGTTAAATGCCACACTCCCACAGTTATTTAATATTAAAAACATTATTTGTGCAAGAGTTGTACTACATGCATCTACAAATTTCAAGTATTACAGGTGCACCCAAGCTATGTTGTAGAATCATTTGAATACACTTCATGACATTGTTTATTAATGTTCTCTTGTAGAAGATGTGTATTCCTATGATTGAACTATAGCTAGCTGCGTTCTCCAGGGATTTCACCCAGATTCATGTCTCCATCCTCTAGACAAACAATAACAAAACAGTAGAGCAGCACGTCCCCTGGCTTTGGAGAGCAGGTTGCAATGATGAAACGTAAGCTCGGTTGAGCTGGAAAACAAATAACTGTGTTTGGGTGAGCTAGATGAGCTGGGTACATCTCCTACCTCATATGACGTCTACACCAAATGCAGCGGTGTGTGGAGCACCGTGACAGAATGAAGAACTGAGTAAAGCTTTGGTTTTGTTTTCACAAAAGCACAACGATTTAGAGCAGATAAACAGACACACACACATATATTACTGTTTCCTCAACTATGGGCACTTTTGACCCTGTGGACTTTTAGAAAATAAACTCGTAAAACAGACTTTTCAAACTCACTAGTCTACTAGAAGACACATTTATCATAATGTCAAAATTTCCACACAATAAGTGGTTTTATAACATAATTCTTCATGACATTAATATATGCTTTTATGATATTAATAAATGTTTAAACAATTTAATAGTATTTTATGGTGGATTTTCATAGCTTATGCTTGATAGACTGGTTCTGTGACAAATATTAAATGATATAATCTAAATTTTAAAGGTATAGTTCACCCAAAAAATAATAATTTCTGTTATCATTTACCTACCTTTATGTCATTCACTTACTTTCTTCTGTGAAACACTAAAAAAGTGTTTCAAAAAATGTCTTATCGCTTTTTGTCCATGCACTGAAAGACAATGGGGTCCAGTGTGGTTTTGAACCCCATTGACTTTCATTGTATAGACAAAAACAGTTATATATCTTATTTTTGAAGAAAAGAAAGTCAGACAGGTTTGGAACAACATGAGAGTGAATAAATGACAGAATTTGACATTTAAATAGTGAGCTATCCCTTTAAAGGCATTTTAAAAAGTAGGAAAAATATGCAGTAGAGTAAGTTTAACCTTAATTTAACAAAAAACTATTTAATAAAAGCACAAATGCTGTAGATATACAGTGTTTGACTAATCTCATATATAAATGAACTTTTCCACGACATTCTAATTTATTGAGATGCACATGTAGAGTGGGTGGATTTGTAAAGTGTGCCAAAGCACTCTAGAAAGCATATTTTGGAAGTCTGTCTTTTCTTGTTGTCCTTTCTTGTTTCATGTGCAGCCAGTAATATATTGACAGTTTATTTATTTATGTATTGTCTTTGTGTTATTTCATGGTACCCAGTGTTTTTATCTCATCATAAATTCCTAAACAACCCTGGGTAAAACTAATAATTTTGTTTCTGTAGATTCAGAAAGTTGTGTGGTGTGCTGATGTTCCTGCCCGGCTGCTTAACTATCTTAACCAGCAAGGCTTCCATCTTTACCAGAAAATCAACAGTACCAAACCAGCATGAAAATTATTTTTGGTAGCGATTGTTTGTCTAATTCCTCAAAAAATGGTTTGGCATTGATAAGCTCTTTCTGTTGGTTTAGGGAATTGGAATAAGTAAACACTAAAGGTGTTGATCAGTGCAGTGAAGAAGGTAATTTACAGATTGGTTTTGAGTTCCCTCTTTATTTGTTGTGTGCTTGCATACTGCTCCAAGGGAAAGACGAATATCAGCTTTTGATTGATTTGACTGAGTGAAGCTGTGAAATTTATTTTCTCCTTTGCCCAGAGCTAAAACAAGACAATAAACAAACGGCATCCATTTTCACATTCTAAAACAACAGCATCTGCCCATTTAAAAAGGAAGCTCGTCCTTTGTGTGTTTTAACTAGGACAAACATGGATGGGTGCCTGTTTTTTAAATGTGTGCCATATCCATGTTGGTTGAAAGTGAATCAGCACCAGGGATCGTGCACCGTGCGATCGTCCCACATGATTATTTTGCCTTGCAGACTGACCGGCTCTAAGCCCAAGCTGCTCACCAGGCCCTATGTGGTCGAGAAGCGGGAGGCGGGTTTGGAGAGGTACGGCACGGCCACAGATGCTTCACTGTCTCGCACTGTCACGTCTGCTTACTCACCCATCCCACACGCGTCACCCAGTGCTCCAATATCTGTGCTGTTTGTGTGTGTGTATATATCTGTTTTTGCAGGGTGATCTCAGAGTCTGTGTTTTCTCTGTCTCTCCACTGGTTGTCGACCTCTGCGGTCACACTCGCTGTTCACACAAGATGATTCACTCTGTATTTGGGAACAAACAACCAAAAAAAAATGAAGAGAACTACTGTGGTGTGTTTGAGCTATATCTGAAAGTTTTTGAAGATGATTATGACAGTTTTTGTTGTGCGGCCTGCGCAGCTGGTCTCAGGTATTGGATCACAAGTGGCTAGGTCTAAATACAGGTAAATCAATTCCAGCTGGCTTTGTGATCCAATCACACAAATGCATTGCATTTGAAGTGAAAATGGCCCTGTGAAATTGCTAGAGCGCAGTTTTCAGTGTCAGATGATATTAGGGAGGTCATTATGATTCTTTGAATATGAGTTTGGGGTCAGTCAATTTTTATACTTTTATACTGAAATGTAAACTTTTATTCAGCAAGGATGCATTAAATTGATCAAAAGTGACATTTAGAATGTTACAAAGGATTTCTATTTCAAAATAAATGCTGTTCTTTTCAACTTTCTATTCATCAAAGAATCTTGAAAAAATTATATCTCCATTTTAACAAAAATATTAAGCAGCACAAGTGTTTTCAACAATGACATAAGAAATTGAACATCAAATTAGCATATTAGCATGATTTCTGAAGAATCATGTAACAAGACTGGAGTAATAATGACTGCTAAAAATTCAGCTTTACCATCCCAGGAATAAATTATATTTTAAAATGTATTAAAAGAAAACAGTTATTTTGTATATTGTTGTAATACTGTAATATAATTGTAATATAATATATGTAATTACTCCTTAGGTCCTTACACTGGCTTCCAGTTATATTTACGATTGATTTTAAATATATATATATATATCATTCTGACCCCAAACTTTTGACCGGTAGTGTATCTTTTGTATTTAGCTTGTGAATCACACTTCTGCTGTTGTTTATGAATCTACAAAATCCAGCCAGTCATGTTAATATTTTTTCTCTATAGTAGTATTAATACATTTCATGTTGGATGTTTGAGAGAACACCGAGTGAACCAGGAAACATGTGGTGGAGACCAAACATGCAAACACCACAGAGCCTGTGAAGTTAACGTTTACATAAAGGGAAAAAGAAAAGTCCTTTAATGATAAGAGGGTCTTCAACAAGCTTTCCTCACAGTCTATTTAAAATGTGCTGTGCCTTTTAGATAAAGCATAATTAAATGTCACTTAATGTAGCACTCATTGAGGTAACACGTCAATAGTAATAAAAAAAAATCGCCTTTGCTATACATATTTTTCTCTCTCGCTAAGCCACCATCCTCCACTTGTCACACCAACGGATGTCAGCTTCTAAAACGTCACTACAGTCTTCAGAGGAGTGATGGGACTGGGAAGCGACTGTGTTTGCCCGTATTGAACCATATTGTGATCATTTGTTTCAGAGGTCCCTGGCTGATTTCCTCAGTGTGGTGCTTTGAGGTGTCCCTGAATGTGCTTGATGAATTGTCACCTCGATAGGTGGTGAAGGCTGACTGTTTGCTTTTGGTCAATAGTAACTGTGTTTGCCAGCTGTGGCAGCCATCTGAGAAGTGCTGTAAACACCCGGCAGATGTGTTAGATTCCACTGTTGCCTCCCTACGGCCTTGCAGTGCCTCGGGCGCTGAATTCCCTTCGGCTGCGCTTTCACAATCTACCAGTCTGTTCTGTGTGATGGCTCTTCTTTTACTGCCTGTGATTCAGACTTTCCTCATTTAAGTCCTGAATTCTGAAGTGTATTTAATGACCGACAATATCTGGTCTGAAAATGGAAAGTTGTCTTGACTTTAAAAGGCTAGTGATTGAATACTCTAGAATAGATCCTTGGGTAGGAATTCCTGGAAGAACTTTGAAAATTGACATGCTGTTTTTTTTCCATCTGAACCTTGAGTGTTCTGAAGTGGTAATTATATGTCATTGTAGCATGTTATGTTTCCTCATGTTTGTCTTTGTTCCCTTTCTCTTTCTGTTTTATAGGGATGTACGTGAGTTCGCAAACGGTTCAGTGTGTCTGGAGTGCGATGCGCAGTGTGAGGTGGCGGATGACGACGGTCTTACCTGCACTGGGCCTGTGAGTTCAGTCTCATTTGTGCTCTAAAACAATAAGCCTATTTTATCGGTTTTTAAAAACAACAACACTAACATAACTGTACCAAGAAATTAAGACTTTTATTCAAGGACACATTAAATTGATCAAAAGTCACAGTAAAGACATTTAATATTACAAAAGATTGCTTTCTATTCATCAAATATCCAGAAAAAAATCAGTCTCCACAAAAATATAGTTTTTTAACACTGGTAGTAATAATCAACCAAATCAGTATATTAGAATGATTTCTGAAGAATAATGTGAAGAAATCGCTGCTGAAAATTCAGTTTTGTCATCACAGGAACAATTATTAGGAACAAATTTTAAACCTATACAGAAAACAGCTATTTTAAATTCTAATAATATTTAACATTATAACTGTTTTTACTGTATTTTTGATCAAATAAATACAGCCTTAATAATAGTAAAAGCATATACAGTATATGCTATATTTATGAAGTTTACACTCAAGTGTGAGGTTGGTAAGAATATATATATATATTATATATATATATATATCACGCAGGCCTGATTACTGCCAGACCTGTTGAATCAAGAAATCACTTAAATATAACCTGTCTGACAAAGTGAAGCATGCTTAAAGAGCAACACATCATGCCGCGATCTAAAGAAATTCAAGAACAGATGAGAAACAGAATAGTTGACATTTATCAGTCTGGAAAGGGTTATAAAGCCATTTATAAGGCTTTAGGACTCCAGTGAACCACGATCAGAGCCATTATCCACGAATGGAGAAAGCTTGGAACAGTGGTGAACCTTCCCAGGAGTGGCCGGCCTACCAAAATTTCTCCAAGAGCGCAACGACGACTCATCCAGGAGGTCATAAAAGAACCCAGAACAACATCTAAAGAACTGCAGGCCTCACTTGCCTCAATTAAGGTCAGTGTACATGAGTAAACAATAAGAAAGAGACTGGGCAAAAACTGCATCCATGGGAGAGTTCCAAGGCAAAAGCCATTGCTGACCAAAAAGAACACAAAGGCTTGTCTCACATTTGCCAAAAAAATATCTTGATTATCCCCAAGACTTTTTGGGCAAATATTCTGTGGACTGATGCAAGAAAAGTTTAACTTTTTGGAAGGTGTGTGTCCCGTTACATCTGGCATAAAACCAACACAGCATTTCATAAAAAGAACATCATACCAACAGTCAAACGTGGTGGTGGTGGTAGTGTGATGGTCTGGGGCTGCTTTGCAGCTTCAGGACCCCAATTTTAATATTACACAAAGATAATGCAAGTAAATACAAAATGCAGCAGTTTTTAAATGATTTCATTTATTAAGGGAAAAAACCTGTCCAAACCTACCTGGCCCTACGTGAAAAATTAATTGTCCCCTCCTGTTAAATCATGAAAGAACTGTGATTAACCACAGTATTTTAGAAAGCTGAGTTACATTTCACTAGCCACACCCAGGCCTGATAACTGCCAGACCTGTTGAATCAAGAAATCACTTAAATAGAATCTTATATATATATATATAATCTGTATTTCTTGTTCTCATTGCAAATTAATTTAGCTGATTTTGTACTTGAATGTTAAAAATGTTCAGAATAGTGTCTCTGAATAGTCTCTCTTCCTTATATTTTCACTTTACATTGTGGTGCTTAATTTAAAAATATCTGGTGCAGCAGCAAAGAAAATAGGGTTTTTTGATAGACCATATCAACAAGAGCCATTATTATACTGAGATTTTGCAAGTTCACTCTCCAAAGCTGATTTTTCTTGCATTCGGCGCTTGGTAATTGTTAATTTTGGATTATGTGAGTATATTTCTTTCATTTCAGTGCAATCTCTTTCAATATCTATTAGCTTAAAGCACAAACAGAGCTGAACGGCAGACACTGCCTTCGATTGGCTTGGTCCAATGATTAATTGAATCCCTTGTTGAAGTGGACTTTTGCAGCCATGGGATTGATTTTGCTTCTTGCTAATTTAGTGAGAATGTAGATTAAGTTGCCTAATCTTGGCAAGTGTTTACAGAGAGTCCTGCCCCATAGGAGACACCTGAGAGTGGGATGAATATGCTGTTTGGATGTCCATGAATCTGATCAGGTTAGAGAGACATTACCACAGATGCGCTGTGTGCTCAGCACTGCCCATTTTCAAAACAGCCTCAAGCACTTTGGTTTAAATTGATGACTACATGACAAGGTGCGTACGGCTGTGCGCTTGTGTGTGTGTTGCCAAATAAGGATTTAGCCGATCCGTCTCTAATGCACGAAGGCCTCGGGCTGTTATCTGCTTGAGTCAAACAGAAAGGTCTCGCAAATGACATGATCATGAGCCCTTAGAGACCCATATCAGCACAAACATAGACAGAAACAAACTCTCTAAAACTGTGTACGTGT